ACTCAATATATGTGGACTAGTTTCTTGTCATTTTTCCCAAAACTATATTGACTATTTGCAATAAAATTTCACTTTGCATTAGGTATTATAAGCAATCTAGAGATGATTCACAGTGTAATGTGACTAGCTTATATTCAAATACTATAGCACTTTAAGTAAGGGCACTTGAGCATCTGCAGATTTGATGTACAAGGGGTATCCTTGCACCAATGACCCAACCAATACTGAGGGATAAATGAATATGTATTGTTTTCAAATGTGTATTCAAACATACACTAGCAATAAAACCATAAAATAAACTAAAGGAATATATGCTTTTTATTTTTAAAATATGATGGACAGCCAGTTAGTAAGTGGTAGAGGAGATATGGTGGAAACATTGTCATCATAGAAAGATTGAATTTCATAATTAATGTCATTAAACTTTTTTATGTTGGGCTCCGGGTTTTGTATATATCAAAAGCACATTGATTAGAAATTGGGAAATACATATAATTTTGATTGATAAAGACCACATATGATGAATTTGATACACTGAACATTCTTATGTACACATGTCAAGAGAATTTGCTCCAGTAGTTTTAGGAAAAGGTGCCTCTTCTATACATAAGCAGCAAAATCTGCACAGACCTTGTCACTTGTAAGGATTATTTACTTATATTTTTATATTAAAAGTAAAGAGATTTTAGGGCAATAAAATTCTTCTTCGTTTCCTTTGATTACCCACACTCAGTGACTCTTTAAAAATATGTTCTTTATCTCACTACTTATAAATTGAAAATTCTTCATATCAGCATAATCTATGGTTTTATCAAGTCTAATAAGGATTTAACAGATAGTTTGCTAATTTTTATTTTAATTTTTTGATAGTTTCTAATTTTTATTTTAATTGTATCAAATATTCTCCAGATCAATTTGTATCACAGATAAAAATAAAAAGAAAAATTTGTAGTGAAAAGAGATCTTTTGTTTGGATTTTACATAGAATTTTAAAATCCTGGAATAGGTATAAAATAATTATTCATATTGGACTTCCTGGGGTCAAGTGAATGAGTACAGAAAAAAAATAGAAAAAATTAATTACCAGGAAACTATGATGTCTAGATGTCCTATTGAAAAACACTAAGTCAATAAGTAAATAAATAAATAAATAATCTATATCTATATCTTTGTTTATTTCAAGCCATTATTGCAAACCATCAAGAAAGAAGAAGTTTGGTGAGATTTACATATCTTTTTGGATTACTATAGTACATTCTATGACATAAAATTCACTATGTTTATTTTGTGACAAAAGTTCTTGTTCATAAAAGCAGAAAGCTATCAGAAAGATTTCTTCCAGAGTACAAAAGATTCATTTACAAATCAATGTGAATATGAAAGAATGCAAATCCCACCAGAAAGCATCACAAAATTAATACTTTCTACATAAAATAATCTTAATGTGATTGATAAGTACATTTTCGCTTAAGGCTCCTTTATAGCTTGAAATGGAATACAAATTATTAAGAAAAAACCCAAAGACATCTTCTTCATAAGGACTTAAATTTCTTCCAATTCTTTGAATGAATCATGGTAGAATTAGCAGTTATAACATCATTCATGTTAAATGGTAAATTTTTTGATGTCACTTAGTGCAGATAGTTTTTGATGTTCCTAAATTGTATGATATTTGAAAGTATTAAAGTGTAAATTTTCCTTGTAAACTCAGCTAAAATTTATCCATACAATCTGAAAAATAATGGTTCCATGACAATACGGACATAATAAAAACTAATATTCGTCTATCAATGTTAATAATATTCACCTTGTTATAATATAATATTTTATATAAATTGGTACATAGACACGAAAGTGTGTAAGAAAGGTATTTCTCTAATATCCCTATGATTTTCAGGGGCTTTGCTCATCAACTGTATAAGAGATTTTGACATGACACAAAGTCATATCCAAAGTTTTCTAATACACAAATATTCCAGTCTCCCAATCAGGACTTGTACTCTTCACACTTAAGTTTATCTAACACCATCATGTTATACATAATCCTTTGTGGTTAGTTACTTTTGCTGAAAAAAGTATTTTATTGATACTGAACAATATTTTTAAAAATTCTATTTTTGGTTATTGCTGGTATATAAAATATAAATGAATTTTGTATCACGATCTCATATTCTGCAATTTTGCTGTAGTCAAATATTGGCACTATAAGAATTTTCATTTTACATCTCCATTTGTTTGCTTTTTAGACATTCCATGAATCTCTACATAGATGATTATATTTTTTGCAAATAATTATTTTTGAGGTAATGTTACATTTTGATCTATTTTTGTGACAAATTTTCTTTCCAAAACTCTCAGAACAGTCTTAAATAGATATTGCCTTATTCCTGAACTGAGATGGAAAATGTTTAGTATTTTCATATCCTTTGTCAAGCTGAGGAAGTTGCTACTATTCCTACTTCATGAGTAACTTTATTAGAAAAACTTGAGGAGCTATTAAAAAATTAATCAAAAAATTACTGGAGACATGAGCTGGGATTGAGGTTATTATGAATATAATAATTAACAATGGAAAAATTTAGGACATGAAATTGAAACCAGTATATATTAGTGTGATATCATATACTTAAAATATCTAAAATCATTAGACATTTACAATTCATATTCAAAGTGAGATTAGACATAGTAAGTAAAGATCATCTGCTCTCTACCTGAAATATGCAAAAAGATTAATTCAATTTAGTAAAAATCTGTAACTATGCAAACAAAAATTATTTTCTTTCCTTGCAATGAGATGATTCTGATAATTGTTCTATGAGAATAATTCTAATTTATTAAAGTGTATTGAAATTGATGGAATCTTTATGCTCTTAATATTCTCAGAACACACAACCTTCTTTGCAAAGAAATTGGCTGTGATCACACCCAGTTCATTCAGCTTCATACTATTCATAATCTATTTGTAAGTTTAGGGGAATGTGGGATACTCCTCCTGGTGCAAGCAAAAGTTCTCTTTCTGAGATTAAGATTTTTGTCTTGCTATCCTGTATGCCATCTACTTAGCAGTATTCTCATAGTACATTCATTTTTTTTCCAGCTTTCTTAAGGTATATAAATTTAACAATTTAAAAATGTGTGTATTTAAATACTTATAAATACATGAGGTATACATTAGGAAATAATCACTAAAATCAAGCAAATTAATATTCATTATTTCACATAGTTACCATTTTCTTTTTTGTTTTGTGTGTGGTTATAACACTCAAACTCTACCCCCTTTCCAAAGTGTACTACAGTATTGTTAAGTAGTCATATTATCACACATCTCCAGAACTCATTCATTCTGTGTAACTGAAATTTGTGCCCCTTGATCAACATCTCACAATTTTCCCCAACTCAGCCACTGGTAAAAAGCATTCTGTTTTTAGTTTCCTCCTTGACATCACAGTCCCCATATATTCAAATCCTTTATGGTATAATATTTGCATGCAACCCATAAACATCCTGTTATATGCTTTAACTCATCTCCAGACTACTTAAAATAATTAGTACAATGCTTAGTAAATGCTGTGAGAATAGTTGTTGAACTGTACCATTTAGGGAATAATGGCTACACATGTTCTATAGAGAAATAACTTATTTTTCTGAGTATCTTCTAGCTATGCTTGATTTATTGCAGATATGGAGGGTAGACTGCATACATGTGATACATGATATAACAATTATTTCTTAAGTAGCATTCTCTGTGAATCCTTAAATATCTCTGGGTGAGAAAATGCTTTATTTTGCTGTTGTATTAGTTGATTTTTGAATTTTCAATCAAAATCATTTTTTTTACCAGACTTCTACTGTGTTCTTGTAGCTACTCTAGTCATGAGAGTCTCTAGTGTCAGTTTTTCTGTTTCTTTTTGCAAGCTTTTGTGGGCTTTGTTTCCCTTTCTTTTTGAAATTCAGGGACTGCATTGAGCTCTTTTTACTTCAGCCTGCTGAGCTCTGTGTGGACCTTTTCAGGGTGAGGCTTCCAATTTTTCTTGCATTTTGTTGCATGTATATGTGAGTATGTGAATGTGTGCATGTATATATAATTTCTCTGTGTATTTCCTTCTCTTATTTCTGTTTTTGAATAGTAATTTCTTATTTGTTAGAAATTGTATATATTAGCTATTCCTATTAACATTTATTTTTAGGGTATCACTCATTAGATTGTCTTTTTTTGCTGTATTTTGTTAGAACTTTTAGCTTCATTGTTCCTCTCACAAATGTCCTCTGTAATTATAGCATTTCAGACACTTAGCCCATCTGAGTTTCTGTATTATTTCAATGTTGAGTATAAAATTCATTCTGTGTTATAAATACAATATCTCCATACATGAGATTTAGACAGGGATTTAGACAATTGGGTTTTTTGTCTTGTGAAGTTGAGTCGTAAAATCCACAGGGATGGCCAGTCAGGCTCTTCAAGGTTTGAGTTTAAGAAGCCAATTAGGAGTACATAAGTTTAACCTCTTATTTACACAATTAAGAAGATGAATCTCGCCTGGTGGTTTTTGACACGTCCTTTAGAGAGAGGATGCATTTTGGGTAGGAGTCTTCTTGTGGTTGGGCATTGCTAGGGGTAAGAGCAAGGGTAACTAAGGAAGGGCTGTTGTGGTTGCAGGAACACAAACAGGTGTTGTGAGGAACACAAACGGGCATTCTAGGTCAGAAGAAGGCATTGTGCTTAACACCAGCAGGGAGTAGGGAATCTCAAGGTGTTTTTGAGACCCATAGTGTCCTTTCAGGTTTGCCTGATGTCCTCCTCCCCTCCTGTCCTTCTCCAAGGCTTTATCCTGGCTGTCTGTGGAAGACCTATTTTTCTGCCTCATTGACAGAAATTGACAGCTTCTTTCTGATTGGTGTAATACACAATGGGATGTTGAGGAAGTTTGTGCACTGGGACTTTTCTCCTTCTGATTGTTGCCAGCCACTAATCATCTTATTCCATCTCTCCTATCCTGCAGCCATCATAGACACTGTTCCAAGACAATCCGACTATTCCATCTGCTGATGGACACAGCAAGGCAGAGGACAAAGCTGAGCATACTTTGCAGCTCCTATTGAAGGTTTCTGAAGAAGGCATTGATTGATGGGTGTACTGGGCTCCTCCTGCTCCCCCTTTCCTGCCTACTCTGTTTGGGAAAGTTCTTCAATACCTAATCCCTTTTGCTGTAGGATTTCTACAAATATCCTAGACTGTTGTTTTCTTGCTCCAAGAAATACTATATGTTTTCTGCATTTAAATATCTTTGTAAATTTCCCCCATCTCCCTCTCTCTAAGATCCTGCTTTTGTTTCTTCCTCTCTGCATTGTTAATTTGGGACATCTGTCAGAAACAGGGTTGCCTTTAACATCTCTATTTTGTTGTCCTCATTTCTTCAATCATTCTACTTCCAAAACATGGGTTTTCATGCACTCCATATGATTGATTATATTTGCTTATTTTTTTCTTTTAGGAGCAAACAACTGCTGTTGGCTGTGTCAATTGTGAAAATCATTTTTGAAACTTTGATGGCCAAAAATGGTAATGAGCTTCTCTTCTTATTGGTGTATTAAAAATAAACACCTTGGGAAAAATTACAAAATTTTTCTAAATGTATTCATAAATGTATAGCATATTTCCTTACAAACCATAGATATAATATGTTATAAGAAAAGATAATAATGCCAAACCATTATTTACTGGCCTTCTGCAACAGAAACTATCATTTGGTTCCGTGATAGTGGGTTCATTTTGAGTCTCACTGATTCCAGGAGCAAATGAACTTTTGTGATAGATAGCCTGAAGCTGCTATGCAGTTTAGAGCTTGTATTTCATTAATTGAATTCTTCTGGGCATGATATTACTCTATATACTCCCTCCAAGACACCAAGCCTTTAATTAGTTACTTACCCACAAACACATATTTAACATTCTAAACTGGGATCACTTTTTGCCAAGACCAGATAGAGTTGTTTCAACTGTGAACTCTCACTAGTAGAAGATTTTCCACACTAATTCTTCTGAGCCAGATTCAAACAGCTGGAAAACATGTGCAGTGTCTTTTACTCTGAAATGTGAGTAGGTCTAGCAGAAAACTCATGCCATTATCTTCACAAGCATGATCAGAGTTTACCTTTAATAGGATTGCTCTAATTTATTTTCTCGTTTGCTTCTCACAGCATGCCAGTATCCATGAGATGCTGAGTTCAGTATGAATTTAAAAATGAAATAAAAGCTCTCTTTACTATCTTAGAGAAGAGGAGATGGTCTCTGAATGCCAAAACATCATCTCTAAATTGACTCAGAAATATGTCTTTTTCTTTCCTTTCTTCTTTCCGTCCTCATCACATTATTTCAAAACTGTTTACTATGGAAGCAAACTCACTTTGCTGAATATATGAAGTAAAATGTGAAAACATCAATGAAATGATTTAATTATAGAAAAATATATATACACAACTCTTGTTAACACACTATATACCAAATTCCCACTCTATGGTCACTTGCATAGAGTGTTAGGGAGGTGTATTTTAAATATACCATAGAACCTAACACATGAGGAGGATAGAAACAAGAACTTTAGGATAGCACTTTACAAAGTGGAGGAAGAGGGCAAAATTCATTAATGCTTAATAGTGTCCAAGGATATGGGGTAGCCTGTGGAGTGACAGCTGTAGAGAAATGGAAATTACAATAGAAATGGAAAACCCCTATTTTCCCCCTTTTATTGTGGCACAGCCTATCAATATCCAACTTTACTTTCATTGCCACTGTCAGAATCACATGATATTATTGCTTTCTGCTAGATAATGTCAATCTAGAAATATAAGGATAAAATGCATTTCAACTAATTAATAGTTTAGCACATAGCAAATTATATCAAATGAGCACAAGCATCATGAAACAACATTTGCTAGTCATTTCTACCTATATACAGTTCATGGTTTTTAATGAATTTAATGTACACTTGACGCATAAGACTTCATAAAGGGTTGACATTTACCATACTTAAAGTTCAGGATAATACTCCCACTGGTGTTAAGTAGGGCTGACTGGGTAGATAATAGCCTGAGTGTGAGCACATTGTGTTGTCATTCTTCCAATTATTATGTGAAAACATAACTTTGTGCATGATCACAAAATCCTTTACAGGTACTTTTACTTACCTTCCACATGTACTAAATTAATTTTAATTTCCTAATTGATATGTCCATTATTTGTGGACTTCTTTCTATTCTTCTTGAATCATAGCAGAAATTCCATTTTGAAGCATTTTTAAAAAGTATCACAGAAAAGTAACATAACATTTTTCAGTTGAGGAATTCAACAATTAATACTTGCAAATATTTTAAGCAAAATATTCACAAGGTTATTAATTTTTTAAATATACCAAATACATTTTTAATTCTTTGATGAGGTCATTTAATTTTAAAGAACTCCATCCCCTCAAGAATTTAAGCTTCCAAACTGATTGTTCTGGTTCTGTTTAATTTAATGAAAGACCCTTTATCCAACTGTCAAGGGATCCCTGAAGAGTCCGTTTCAGTTCATATTTCCCTAACAAAGCTCTTAAGTACTCAAACAGGAACATATAAACTGATTCCAGCAGTTATAAGTCCCTATTTCCATTTAACTTACTGATAACTTCTGAGGAGGTTGAGTGAGCTAATGGAAAGTTAAATAGTCCGAAATAAGCAAACATGGGAGCTAAATGATCAGGTTACTCTTTGGCTCCCCTACTCTGGGCTTCCTGCAGGAACAAAATGCATTACCAGAATGTTCAGTGGGGGTTAGGTTTGTGTTTCTAGATTTTCAAACTGGAAAAATACTACCTACCAAACTAAACTAATTCCTTTGAAACTGCTGCAAATAAAATATACATATTGAAATACTAAGATATTTATTCTAAGTAATAACTGTCATACAACCTACAATACTATATTATACATAGTATGTGATCTATAACATGAGATCTTAATTGTAAATGGGCTCAGTCTTGTAGTGACAGCTCATTCGAACATCTGCTGTGAGTCAACACAAATTTCAGGAAATGGTTAAAAGGAGTAAAAAGAGAATGTAAAGCCATTTTAATACCTTTCTCTCTTTGATTTATTGAATGAAAGTGCTAGTGATTAAGGGATTTCAGAGTGTATTTAGAGAACTGGGCAAAAAGTATAAGAAAGATTTTCCTTATTATAAACTATTGGTGATATTTAAAATGTTTTATTTTATCAATCAAGTTTGGCATTCTTTCAGAAGGGCTGCTTGGGAAGGGAAACATGCAACAGGATCGTCCAGAGACTTTGTTGTTGTTGTTGTTTAATATAAACAAAATGAAACAACATAAGGAAGACTTATCTGAATGGCCACCAATCAATCATGTTAGAACATCTGGAATGAAGAAGAATGAAGGCTGATCATTAAGTCTGAAACCCAGGCAATATTACTTATCTGTACTGTAATGTGCATAAGTGTGCATTGTGTGCTGATAAGGCTGATGATTATGATTATAAATATTCATTTGTTTCAATATTTTTGTTACCTGTAATGTCAAAATCAGATGATGGATATATTTTTTTATCTGTAAAATTAAATGAAATTTTTTAAATTATTAGTTTTACTACTTGACTCCTTGTATTTCACGATCATTTGAGAATTACTGGGGAAAAAGTAGAAGAGAAAAAGGCAGAAGTTTTAATATTTACTGGGCAGTACTACTTTAATAATCCATAACAAGAGTTGTATATCTGGTGACAAAAGGAAGACAGACTGTAGTGGAGTTAAGTAAATAGAATCTACAAATGGGATTTTGGCACACATGTGGTGAAATACCAAATCTATTTTAGAAATTTAACTCTGAGATGTTGTTAACATCATTTAACATCCATTCATATATGTGTGAAATATATTGGAATAATTAGGGAAAGGAGGCAATATTTATTGAGAAGATATCTAATATGTAAAATCTATACTCATATATAATATTTGTATGTATACGGTATACGTGTACATATATGTATGTATGTGTGTATATATCATATATATGTGTGTGTATATATAAATATATAATTATATATATATATATATATATATATATATATATATATATATATGACTTTACCTAGTTAGTATGTTGTGTTAGTATGTTGTGACATAGTTGTTAGTATGTTGTGACAACCCAGTCCATGAATCATTCATTCTGAATCATCTAATCATCTTTAATTCTGTAAGATGTCCCATAATGGTTTTATTTTTTGCAAGTGATACATTGTTAGGAAGTAGAGTTTTCAAAATTTCTAGCATAATTCAGTCTGTGCCTGAGAAAAATGAGAGGTATCTATCATTTATAATACTAGCAAAAATGACACTTTTCTCAAATATTTCTTTGTAAATATATTATAGTTCCAGGTTTTATGAAGCTCAAATCTGCTACAATTTGTGGTGGTAATGAACTATGCAAAATATTCTAAATATCACATACTTCGAAAATTGTGCTAGAGAGATGTAATGTGAAAACATTATGAGCCTTACTAGGGTCTTGGAAAATTCCCATTTCAAATTTATTTTACACAGTTTAGATTTTAACAACACATGCTCAATAATTCATATTCTGATTATTCCCAGATTGTTTATAAGTTTTGATATTTATTCTCTCTAGTGAAAGATTATAAAAAAATTTTCATGGATTTTATTTCAAAAGAAGATATTAAAGTAGGCAATGATTAACAGTGTAAAATATTTCAAAAATGTAGAAGAAAGTGTTTCTTTGGAAAACCAAAACAGTATCCATCTTTACCTAAGATTATAAATGATATTTTTATATTTCTGTTTTATTTTTTTCCTTTACTCTTCCACATTTTCAGGAACTTAATGGTACTTTTTAACACTAAATGTGGTTTAGCAAATACCCTCCTTTTATTCAAAGATTGAATTACAACTCTGCAATTCAAGTTAGCATAGGTTGTCTTACTCCAGGTAAGTTGTTTGACAAAATTTTTAAAAAATTTCCTCAAATCACATAAAATTGACATATTACAGTGACACCACCACATCAATGTTCATAGCAGGTCAATTTACAATATCCAAGCTTTTAAAGCAATTTGGGTACTTTACAACAGATGAATGGATAAAGAAAATGTGGAATATATATATATATACAATGGAATATTATTCAGCTATTAAGAAGAATGAAACTATGGCATTTGCTGGTAAATGGATGGAACTGGAGAATATTATCCTGAGTGAAATAAGCCATTCCCCAAAGGCTGAATGTTCTCTTTGATATGTGGATGCCAATTTACAAAAAATAAGGGTTGGGAGAATAGAAGTTAATTGGATTGGACAAAAAGGAATGAAGGGAAGGGGATAGGAATAGGAAATACAGTAGAATTAATTGGACATAAATTTTCTTTTCTCATAAATGAATACACAGCCATGCATTTATGTGTGGATATTATGTCAAAATACATTATCCTGTCACGTACAGGTAAAAAGAGCAAATAAAAAATTTTAACAAGTCTTAATTCTCAATAATAAGAAAATAACCAAATACACAAAATATGATTGGAAACATCAGCGAATAATATGTGCATACTAAGGAATGAAATGAACCAAATTATATTGTTCAATTGTGTGCATGCATGAATGTGTTAACAACCATCCCTACTATTATGTATAATAATAATGAACCAATAAAAAAAATGAATATATAAAAATAGAAAAAAATCAGCAAGATCTATAGTCCTTGGGGAAAAAAAAAGTGAAGAAATAGCGTCAAATCATTCACATTGAGTCCCTGTTTCAGCAGAATAAACATCTAAATCCAACATGTGCAAATTCCGTATCACCAAGAATATCCACAGCAATCCAGTGTAGAGACCACTGAAATCCACCTTATATCTTATATTTCATGGGTAGGGGAAATTGATTGGTTTCACAAATTTTATCAGTGAAATGTATGGAGTTGATTCTTACCAATGAAATGGAAATAGTGGAGAAAGAAACACATACGGGTAGTATTTACAAACAAGTAAAGAAGTTGGGTAAAGAATATCTCCATAAAAATAATGAATTTATAAGGAAAGTAAAAAAAAAGTCAATCTAATATATTAAAATACATGAGGTCATAAAAAGAACAGCATGGATGGTGGAAGGAGACTCTCATCATTATACAAAATACATGTATAAAGATATGAACTTTGTGTCAACATACCTTATGTACAAACAGAGATATGATAAATTGTGGTATAAAGGTATATTAAGAATTGTAATGCAAAAAATAATAATAATAAGAGAGCTCATGTATAATGGCATAATTTGGCGTGAACATACTTTATACAGTTATGAAAAATTGTGCTGTGAATGGATAATTATGAATGTAATGCATTCTGCTATTGTTATGTATGTAAGAAATTTTAAAAATAAATTAAAAATAAATGATATTAAACCAAGGAAGTTTTATGGTGATTTTTTAAAAAATCTATTAAAATTTCAGTGGAAGAGAAAGATCTATAGAGAGAACTATTTTGGGAAAGAAAAAATTCCATTAAAAATAAGTGGCATTCATGAGATATTTAGTAATTTATTATGAATGCAGTGAGTGGGGGCAAAAGTCTAAAACAATTTTCTCAATAATAACTGTTACTGAAATAGATATGTCAGAGAGTTCCATAATTTGATTTTCTTATACAACCCAAATTTAAAATAATTTTGAAACTCTAACAATATTTACAAAACATAGCTATCCATACAAGTAAAATTTTTGAGGGGTACAGATCTACAGTTCTTTATGTACTATATTAAAATGATAACTATTTTAAACCTCTAAGACTGCTCCTGATTCCAAATATTTTCCATATTTATTAATATAGAACTATATCTACCAGAAAATATTTCCATGTACAGGTAGATAGATATAGATAAATATGCCTATGTCATATATATGAATGAATTGGGAAAAATAATTGTACAAGTCCACTTGAAGATTTCTTATCTCCATAGCATTCCAAGTGCATTTTGAAATCTTCTTTCCATTGCATGTCAATAAGTCTTAAAATGTTTATGGTTTGGTAAATACAGTGTCCCATTCATGAGTGCAAAGTACTTCAAAAAATGGAAACTATAAACAATCACCAAGAGACTAAAGGTAAATAGAAATTAATTAGTAAAGATTGCAATAAATAATATTTAATTATAGCATACAGCAACTTTTGAAACAGCACATTAGCCACTATATAGGAGAGGGGGACCCCAAACATGAAATGTGATTTAGATACTGAGAATGGTGACATCACATACACATTAAGAGAGTGTGGAGCTCTATTTTGTAAATACTTGAGGTCTCCAGAGAGCAAGTTCAGAAGACTGGCTCAGGAGTTTTACTATGGTTAGGGGTAGAGCCAAGGTGACAGATACCCCACAGAGGCAGAGGCTGGTGTGATTGGAATCTCCCCCTGGCACCAGGGAAGAGAATGCCCAACATTTGTATAGGTTTGCCCAGGCTTTGGATAGAAGGGAAGAGGAAGGAGGCAGAGGTACAGTTTAATAGTGGTGGGCAGTCTATACCAAACAAGGGTGTCAGACTCCTTATTACAGACAAGTATTTCAGGGAAGCCTGAAGCAAAAACTGGGGGCAACTGATGTGATTATTAATTTGGCTGCTAATTGTTGTGATTTTCTGATTCCACAAATAATGTGAAGGATATTGCCTATAAGTCTTACATTCATGCTTAGTCATTTTCTGGGATTAAAATCCAAGATATTGCTCCCTGAGACTGACAAGTAAAGGAAAGTACAATATATATATATATATATATATATATATATATATATATATTGTGGAGACTGCTGCTCGTTGAAGCAATTCGCTTATTTCTAACCTCAAAGCCTATAAACTAAATGGTCAGGTCTTGAATGTATCTTCTTCCACCCAAAGCAAAGAAGCAGACACATTTTGATATGCAGCTCAACTGCCAAAGGAGCTGAGAGAAACAAAGAACAAGCAGGCAAGTCCCTGTATCATGCTGCACAGAGAACTTGTATGCCAGGATACAGAGAACAGACAGAAAGCTATTCAATTTCTATCGGAAACATGTTCTACGTGGATTAATAATAAAGTGGGAGGAGTAGTTTCAATTATTCAGCAAAAAAATAAGAGGATCTTTATTACTTTACACCAGGAGGGTTTATTTTTAAAAAGTTCAAAAAATAAACAACAACAAAAAAAAACAAATCAGGAAGTGGGTATGTCAAACAAAAAATTTACATGTTGGAACAGAGGACACCTTATTTACAATTAACGAACAATATCACAATCAGAATTGGAATTTGCTGAATTGGAATTTGCAGGAATTATCTATAACTCCAAAGATATTATAATCCATAATATGTCAATGATTCCAAGAACTAATGAAGAGAATATTAAATAACACCCAGGACATTGAGCACTGGGAATGATTGATGTTAAATGGAAAAGTAATTCAGAGGGACATTTTTGATGTAATGGAGTATGAATTATTGATTCTTTTTGTATTGTGCCTGTGGTGTGCTATATAAAATGTCCTTGCCAAATTTAAGATCACTTAGTGTTCTTATATGTTATCTTCTAAGTGTTTTATTGCTTTGAGATTTCATTTTAGTGTTTTGGATACATTTTGTGTTAAATTTTGCAAAATGATTTAAAATTTATAAAAACCTTTTTTGTTTGTTGTTTTACACGTGAATGCCCAGTAGTTCCAGCAACAATTTGAAATTACATAGACAATTATAAATATTACATGAACTTTTTCGTAAGCCAATGCCATATTTTGAAAGGATTGACTTCAGTTTTTACTCTGGTAAAATGCTGTGAAACTTCACATGCTACGAAGAAATATTTTTGAACTTTTATTATGTTTTATTATCACAGTATAATTATCCACAAGAATGGGGTTCATTGTGACAT